CATTTGTGGATGAGATCCGAGCTCCAGCTCTTGTCTTCCAGAACTGTAATGGCACTGGTGCTCTTAAGACACAGACATTTACTGTGTTCTTTTTCTTACCTCCTTCATCTTCAAGTCACTCTGGGAAATAGTTTTTCAGCTGTTATTTAGGCTGTCAGAAAAGTCTGTCGTCATTAGGAATTTGTGTCATTGTAACTAGTACTATGACTGGAAGTGGCATTAATGAATAATGAACATTATAATCCTATTCTCCTGTGGTGTGACAGTCCCCCAGGTGAGCCTGAATTACAGCAGTGCTATTACTGAAGCATCAACCTTTGGAAAGAATAGGTTGGCAGGCTGTAATCTGTGAAGCACATCACCTCCTGTAGTGAGAAACCTAATTGGCCCAATTGTGAAAACCCATGTAGGAGCCTTGCCTGAGCTTAATTTTGATCACAGAAGAAAAGTTTCTTTTCTAAGAGCAGGGGAATAAAGTGGCAACCGTGGGAGGAGGTGAGCTACAAATAAAACAATTTTCCAAATAAATTCACAATTGGAAGTACTTTTATGGCCTCTCACTTCACAACACAGGCAGCATTTAGTCGATAGTAGCATCTCAAGTGCAATGCAATGAGTTTTCTCATATTAGCTTTGCATTTAATATTAATCTACAGCCCTATTAAGCTGCCATCATGCAATTCCTGGCTGAGATTGTGCCACATGTGAAAAGTCGCTGTCTGTTTTGCACCCGTGACATAGTTTTTGTAAACATTTGTTCCTAGAGCTTCATCTTCAGTGTACAGAAAAAAAGTACAGCGATTTTCTTTAAGCCTCTACTAAGTTCTGAGGTTGGAGACATAGGGAAAGCAAACCAATGAAAAGCTCCACGAAGTAAACTTTATTTTTGAGAATGTACTGCCAGCCTACGACTGGCATGTGTCTGTCTTTTCCAGATATGTTTGTTTGAACCTGCATGTGGCAAAGTCTTTTGAAAGGTCTCACTTCTTGGAGAAAAAGGCTTTGGGTAATAACAGTGCTTCTCAATTTACATTGATGAGGGTAATTGTTTGGAAAAAAGTCACAGAGAGACTTGCTGTAGAGCAGAATGCTTGGAGAGATTGAAGGCTGTGCAATGGAAAAGCTATTTACGATGAACAAAGGGAGTCTGTTAGATATAACTTACATTTGCTACCAAAGTGATTTAGAAAACAAAAATCCAAATATTTTCTAAAGTTTCAGATCTACTCAGTCTAAATTGAGAGGATGAGGCACCTCAAAAGGCATCTGGTGGTAGAAGTGATTTATGTTATTTGAACAGTCACACCTTTTGTCTGAAAGCAGGTAAGGACTAACAGAGTCACGAAGAAACCAGGTATCTGACAGAACTATGACCTGGGACCCAGTGAAACTCATAGAAATGTTTCACAGGAATATTGAAAACAGCTGGTGAACTTCTAGCTTCTAGATTATTCTGAGGGTTGACATCATTTTCTGTATCTGCTGCATGTCTCATGGTATCACATAGGTGACAGCATCCCAGCCAGGTCTGATTCAGCACACAGAGTGCCTGGGTACTTGAAGTATCTGAGTTAAGTGGGTGCATGGCTGCAGCTAGTGTGGCTACATCAGTTCCATGTCCAGGGGCTGTCCCTGGCACAGTTTCTTCAGCAAACTTACTTGCACAGGACAGAGAACAAATGTGCTATGTGTCCACTGAAGGACAAGAGGTTATCCAATGCTGGTACAGTTTTTGCAATAAAATACACACACCTCTTCTCAAAGAAGGTGGCATGTGAGGATTTAGCAGTCCAACTTTCACTAGTTTGGCATTTTTGAGTATTTTCATATTTCTGTGACACGACTGAAGGTAGCTGCTCTTTGTTTAATAGCACGTGCAAAAGCCCCTCATTCTAAGTGTTATTTTGTTCTCCATTTTACTGAAATACATCTGGCCTTTGGTTTGGATTGTTAGACCTGCATAGCTCAATCTTCACTGTTTAGTAACTGATATCATGTTTCCCTTGTAAGTAATCATATTATTAAATTGTGTACATGGACCAAGAGCAAACATGTTCCAGTAACAACAGGTGTAGAGAAGTTTGCACAGCAATATAGCAGCAAGATCTAAACTGTTCCTTGAATAACTGCTAAAATAGATAGTTATGAATAATGAATAGTTTTCCAGATAAGGCATATTGCTGTTAAAAATGGAGATTTTTAATGATGAGATGTAATGATGAGATGGATCAGTTTTTTTTTTTTAAAGTGCTGCCCTATCTATCAACAAAATTTTCTGTATATAATTGAAGTGTGCTGCATTTCTTTCTTGATACAGATAGGCTTAGTAAACTCACAGCTCCAGCAATCACCCACCACTCAGGAAAATTAGCATTTGAATTTACAGCAGCTCTCCATTTGGCTGTCTCGGCTGCATTTTTGAAAAGAAATTCAATTTATAGTTTATTTATGTGTTTATTGCATTCTCAGTAAGCAACAGAAGGCTTGAGGAAGAATATAAATCTGTTCAAGTGTTTGAAAGGTAGATAATAGCAGGACAAGAGGAAATGGTTTTAAGTTGAGGGAGGGAAGATTTAGGTTGGATGTCAGGGGGAAGTTCTTTACAGAGAGAGTGGTGAGGTGCTGGAACAGGCTGCCCAGAGAGACTGTGGATGCCCCATCCCTGGAGGTATGCAAGGCCAGATTGGGCCTTGGGCAGCCTGGTCTAGTATTAAATGGGGAGGTTGGTGGCCCTGCATGTGGCAGGGGGGTTGGAGATTCATGGTCCTTGAGGTCCCTTCCAACCCCAGCCATTCTGTGATTCTGTGTACTTCTTTTATCTATCTGAAACACATGGAAGTCAACTGAAGTCAGAAGTACCCCAGCTGAGTTGGAAGCACATTCTGCCACTACTGCTGTGTAATAAATATTGCTTCCGTCAATAAGTGAGCTTCTTAATTCCAGAGACCACTCACTGAAGTGGTTGCTGGCAGGCATGAATAAGGCTGACAACCTCCGACTTTCATGCAGCTCCTTGAATGGAGAAATGCTCACCATGATGGAGGAACACAAAGTCAATCCTAACTAATGTAGATACTTTCTACCATGCACTTTTCTATGTATTCTCTTATAGCTGCATGGTGAAACTGAAAGGTCAGCTTACTCTTATTAGGTGATTTAGGCTTTCTCATTGAATAGAAAATGTTGGTTTGGGGATAGTAAATCATCAAATAAGTTACTTATGTGTGAAATGAAAAGCCACCTGGAGGTCAATTTCCAGTACATTTATCATGAACTCAGGCAGTGTGGAAATACCCAGCTAAGCCCACTAATTATTTGACTGACTGCTATGACCTGAAAAACAAGATAGGAATATCAGACAATAATGACTAAATTTGGACTTTAAACACTGCTGCTTTTTCAGTCAGGTTCTGTAGTATGTTCCTGCCTCAGACCCGTGAGTCTGCAGTGGTAGTAGAAGCCAGAGAGAGCCGCACCCTCATTGATCTTATTAGTTTCACAGCAAGACCTTTAGATGGCCGAATATAAGGCATGTTCTATCATGCTCAAGAGCCAAGGGATAGCAGAGGTTGAGAGGTGATGCAGTGGTTTCTCAGGGTTTCAGCCTTGCTACTGCAGGATGGAGCTGGCTGCAGGCAACGTGCAGCAGGTTCTCGACATCAGCCAGCGCAATCAGCCTCAGGCATTTCTGTGTGCCCTTTTCTTCCCCATGCCAAGGATTCAGATCACAGTATCTGCGATCACTTCATACCACCTGTGATTACAAACCCTGATCTTGAGCAAACAAAAGAATAAAATGGTTTATCAGAAAGCATTCAGAAGCTGTGTTTTTTTTTTAGCCTTCTGCTTTTAAGTAAGCTGTACTTTTTTGCTGATTTACTGAAAACTCCTACATCCAAATGTTAATATTGCTTTGATCTGTATACTTAATATTATGGACTTTTATGGTTGTAATTTCTTATTTGCCCAATATGCATCTTCCTGAGAAAATCACCAGTGGCATGTCCACTATTGACACTGTTGAATTTATACCGTTTTTTTTTTGGCATAACATATGCAAAAGAGTCTTTTTTTTTTTTATTATTATTATTTTTGCAAGGTCCTGTGATATGTTACAGGGTCTAGGCATGCAAAAACAGGACTTAGGTAATTCAGAAAAGCGTTTTGTACATGCTCTTAACACTCAGGCTAGAGCCATGCTAAGGACATCCATAGCTGCTGAAGTACTTTCAAACCCTTTGCGTTGACCTGCAGTGAATTATGGACTTGAGAGCCTGAAGCTTTTAATGGGAAAACACCTGTTGAGGCACTAACAGGTCACATATCTATTGGCTGTTGGTAAGGGAGTGGTCAAGTGTTAAGTCATTTAAAGTCCTGTTGGTAAAGGATTAATTACAATTCAAACAAAGTTGGCTGGCTAATGAGGACAGTGCAGTGTTTGTGCTGTAGTTGTGGCACAGGGCTAAGCTTTCCTGGGCTGGGCTGTGCCATGCTGTGCCTACACTGAAAATGAGGGACAGGCTGAGAGGCACAGCCCTTCTGGAGGTGCTAGTTCTAGGAATCTGAGTTGCATAACAAAGCTAGCTGTGGTTTTGTTGTGGCATTGTACACTATGTTCACACACTAGGTATGAACTTCTTATAATGTCTTTATCAGTGCATGTGAATTGCTGACACTCTAGAGACTCATGTAAACAGGAACACTGCTCTTTGCTGTGCTCCTTACAGATACTGCTACTGTTTTATTAAATGAGTTGATTTAAAAGAAATCAGTGCTGAATCTAATAACTCTTAACAACTGAGCTAGTTTTCTTAGTTCTAAACTTGTCAACTCAGCATCAAGAGTTTCTGCTTTTTTTCTTTTTACTCTATGATTGGCAGTCAACCACATAAATGTGAATTTACAGCAGGCAAAAAAGTCATCTAAAATACTAGAAAAAATAGTTAAATGTTCTATTTAATTATATTGAAAATTTTCTCATTCTGTTTTTCTCTTCTCAGTTAGTAGCCTCCATCGTGTTTATCAGCTTTGGCGTGGTAGCAGCATTCTGTTGTGCAATAGTTGATGGAGTGTTTGCAGCACGGCATATAGTAAGTATAGTGATTTTCTGTCATCTTTCATTTTCGATGACTTACATTCTTTCTAGCAGGAAAGCATTTTGTTTTGGCTTGTATCTAGCAGCATGTTATTTCTTGATAATTCTCTTTGTTGGAGAAATATCTTTTGGCAAAAAATCAACAGAAAAGCCCATCATGCCAGTGTCTAGAGATGGTACCAACTATTTATTCATCACTGAGAGGTCCAAACACTGAGGTGCTGTAAAGTGATGTAATGATAGATGCGATAAAATGCATGCCTATTTGCAAATGGAAGATGCTTCAACCACCACCAGCTTCTGGTTCCTTTTGCACATAGGATTTGTGAACATGGTCAGAATTTGGAAAGCACCAAATGGTAATGAGAACCAAAAGTCTCCTTGGAAGTCTTAGTATGAAAGTAAATTGTGGCAGCACAAAAGGAATATTCTGTTGGAGTACAGGCAGCAGAGGATGTGGCAGGCTTTTGTTGGAGATGCACCTACTGAGTCGCAAACGATCCAAACTTCATCATCTGCCTGTCATCAAAGGTTGGGTCCTTTACCTCAGAATGACTAGTATTTCCAGTATGTCTTCCAAAGCCAGTCCCTCTTCTTTGTAATCATGTTTCATGCTAAACAAACACCGTAAGATTCTGACATGACCTGTTTTTGTTTGGATGGCCATTCTGCTGGATGACTCCTGGTATAACTTTGTCTCTGATTAGGACAGAAGTGTAAACCCACTTTTCATGGGAGGTACTTAGAAGAAGAAGGGAGCAGATTCCTATTCAGAGTTTCTGCTGACAAAAGTCCAGTTGTTATGCCCCAGAAAACCATTTCCATTTATTCAAATATTGGCTCTAACTCCTAATTTCCCAGGAATCAGACATTTTTGTCCTGCTGTGATGTGGTTATTAGAAGATGTTTGGACTGTGTTTGTACAGTAAGGGAAACTTCAAGAACTTGGTGTTTTCTGAAGAAAAAAAAAAACAAAAAAAACCCCTGAATCTCATGCTTCCTGAGGGGATAGGTTGTTCTCCTTCGATCACTGTTGGCTCATAATGTCATAGGTTACCTCAGACTCTTAACAGGATAAGATAAGCTCCTATTCAGCATCACTTTGCCATTTTTAGTGACTTGTTTGGGTTTACTTGTATTTCTACCAGATTTTGTGTGGTAGCTTCTTAATCTTCCCTGCCCACTAAGTAGGGTTTTCAGAAGTACATATCATTCTTAACACAAGCATAACTTAACTGGTAGTCAGTCCTGTATATAGGATAGCACACGATCTACACTGAGAGCAAAGGGAAAGCCATGTTAACAGTTCTGCCTGCCACCAGCCTGAGAGTCAGGGTGGTATGGTGAGCCCTGTGTTCTCCTTGCCATATGCTTCCAGTTTGCTGACACTGCAGCCAATCAGCTCTTATCACAGTGATGCCATTATGTAGCCACAACCACACATTGCTGAGGTTACACGTGCTTTCACCTTCTTGGTGGTGAGTTCTTGTGTCGGAGGCCAGTGAATCTCAAACAGAGATGAATATCAACTCTATTCATTTTTTTAGGCACTCTTTTAGTCAGTTTTCACCCTTCTGGCCTTAAGTTTCTTTCAAAAATCTTACTTAACTATTCTAGAAATAGCACTGGTTCCTAACTAAATGAAGCATTTGTATCATATTTGAATATTATCATGTCCTTGTATCTGAAGAAACAGAGCCTCTATCTAGTGGTTGTATTTGTCTCCTCTTTATTGGTGCATCAATAGCTGCATGGCATCTCTTTCTTTTATGTCATGCTCTTGATGTGTCATTGTGGATTAAAAGTGATTCAGTTCACTGCAGTGCTTTCCAGGGAGAGTATGGACTAGAGAGTCATCACAGTGGAGCATGAAGGCAAAAGATCATCCCACTGGCATAACAAGAAGGCGTTTTGCAGTCCTAGAAGTAGTTCTGCATCTGGTTAAGTCAGTGAGTAGGCAGTTATGTCATCTGTGAGGGGCTGGAGACTAGAATGGGCTGCTCACCACCCAGGAATTCCTCAGTGTGTTGGGATATGTACAATCCAATGACAAGGAGCTGATGGAGTCACAGCATGACATTCTTCATAGAAATCTATCTGTTTACATTTATTTCCAAACGTTTACACTTGATCTGTCTCTGCTGATCTCCTTCACGTTTTATAGAATGAAGAAATAACTAGTAGTACCATTTAGCTGGAAAACTAATTTGTGTGTCAATATCCTTCTCATTTCATCTTGTTCTGCTCCTCTGTCTAATAAGCTTAATAGGATCCCATGAAACAACTATACATATCACTTCATTTTTCTGACTAATAGACCAGGAGAAATCTGTTAGGATGTTGGTGTAGATACCCTCACAGTCTGATCTGTAGAAAGATGGGGCTTTTTTAAGAGAAGGTATGTCATGCAGGCTATGGAGTCATTGCTGCTACATTGCCTTCCCTCTGCTTTGCAGCTCCTTTTCTTCAGGAGGAGCACTTGCAGCTCACTACGTTCTGCCACAGGCTGGTACCAGCAGTTTTCAGAACTGTCTTGTGCTAGCTTTGGCCATTGCCTTTGGTGTAGTTGATGGAAAATGAAAATAAAATGTCCCCCATTCAAGGAAAGGAAAGGACAAACTGTGGGCATGTCAGAACAGGTGCCTGGGCCTACATTAAAACCAAGAAGTATTCACAAGGAGAACATATGCAGTGTTCACTTTTCTGTCTCCAGTATTGGGGTGCTGATACCAGTACTCCAAGTTCCTTTTTCCTGGGGGAAGAAGTGCTAGCTGAAGCCAGGCTGGCTTCAGACATCAATGAGTACAACATCCTCCTTCACATCAATTTGGAATAAGAACTGTCTGCTGTTTATCACTTTATTTTTAACTTCATGTGAGTTACGAGGGATGCTAAGACAACAAATAATGATATTACAGCTTTTTCTCAGTGTGTGCCTGCTGTCAAATGGAGGCTATTACTGTTGCATGTCTTTTTTGCTTCTCTTGTAACAGTGTGCATGGAATAAGAAAATGTTTTTTTCTGTTTCATTTATTTTCAAGAGGGTATAAAATTGATAAAAATTCTTCCTGGAAAGGAATATATTTCAGAAAAGAGATGTTTAAATTATTTAAGACTCAGATGAAAACACTTTGCTTAATAGAAAGATCTGGAGCACAGCACTTACAAAATTTAAAAATGGAAGGAAAAGTAGCTCAATTTTTAAACCAGTAGCTTATTTAAAAAGAGTAATGCAGATGCAATTCATTATATAATTTCACCCTTCAGCTGCATTTTTACCCTTTAAAAAAAAAAACAAAAAAAAAAAGAGGCAAATGGAGAAAATCAAAATTAGAACTACACTGTACAGTGATGTTATTTTAGAAAAATATGGTAATTACAGGACTCCATTATCTTTGATAGTTCTTGCTTGAGACATTTTGTTATTGTGCAACAGCTAATATGGATGACTCAGCAACTTCTTGTAACCAGGAGACCCCATCTCCCACCTCACATGCACCTTCTTTGCTGGATCCACTGCCTTCTACAGTGACTGCAAGCTTTGACAGCTGCTACACGATCCTTAACTTTGCTGTTATCCCCTCAGGCAGATACTAAAATAGCCAACAGCAAGAAATTAAGAAGTGAGGAAATTGCCTCCAAGAGCTTCCTGAGGAAGTCAGGTAGATGAAGAGAAGGGTAGCGAAGCCATGGGCAAGCAAGTTGTAGAGACAAATGCTTTTTTTTTTTTAAACACACTCAGTTGGAAATCAGGGAATATCAATACTGACACATGTCTAAGCTTTATTTTTCCTGAAGCATGAGATAAAAAGAAACTCTTGTGTGCCTGAGAGCTCTAGAAGAAACGAGGGACTTAGGAAGGATAAGTTCTCTCTGCTTGACTATTAAAAGCTGCTTTTTGATCTTGCTCAGTGGAATTTGTAGACCACATCGTGATAGATGTATTCAGGGAGATTCACTAAAAACAGCAGCAGAGATGAAGACCTCAAGATACTACCACCAAGAAAAACATATATACCTGTGACACTGTGACTTGGAACTGTTGTCATTATCTTTTCTCTAGACACTTTGATTTTATCTTCTGAATATCAGTTTTTCAGGTAGTTCAGTATAGTATATAGTATCTATATATAGGATTATAGTTCTCTCAGAATCACAGAATTGTAGGGCTGGAAGGGACCTCTAGAGATCATCTAGTTCAACCCCCCTGCCAAAGCAGGCTGCGTACAGCAGACTGCAGAGGTAGGCATCCAGGTGGGTCTTGAACATCACCAGACGAGGAGACTTCACAACCTTTCTGCTCCCGTCACCCTTTATTGTCAAGAAGTTCTTACACACATTTGTGTGGAACTTCCTAGGCTTCAGTTTGTGGCCATTTCCCCTTGTCCTATCTTCACACGTCGCTGAAAAGAGTCTGCCCTCTTCCCTTTCCCACACCTTAGATATTTATAGACACTGATCAGATTCCCTCTGAGTCTTCTCATGGCTGAACAGACCCAGGTTGGTCAGCCTTTCCTCATAAGAGAGATGCTCCAGGCCCTGTATCATCTTTGTGGCCTTCCACTGGACTCCTTCTGGGAGATCCCTGTCTTTTTTGTACCTGGGAGCCCAGAACTGGACGCAGTACTCCAGGTGAGGCCTCACCAGGGCAGAGTAGAGGGGGAGGATCACCTCCCTTTACCTTCTGGCCATGCTTTTTTTTGAAGCACGCCAGGATGCCATTGGCCTTCTTGGCAACTAGGGCACACTGCTGGCTTATGGCCAACCTGTTGTCCACCAGGTCACCCAGGTCCCTCTCTGCAGAGCTCTTCTCCAGCAGCTCACCTGTACTGGTGCATGTGGTTATGCAGTCTAACACACAGTTGGCCATAAATGCTGTGAGGTCTCCCTTGCCAACATATGTCCAATTTGTCTGCAAACACCTCAGGGGCTGTTTTGCCAAACTGCTACGTAGCCAGCCTGAACTGTTGCTTGGGTTTATTCCAGCTCTTACGT